CGATTTGTGTTACAAGTTTGGTTGGGGCTAAGCCTAACCAAATCTAGTTCAAATTTTGGTTGATTTCATAATAAAATCTTCGATCCATTCTTATATTTTAATAACAAAATATATATATCATGTATGCATATTAACTTAATATATAATATATATTCTACTCACACAAAAAACTCAACAATTCAATACAAAATATTAATTTTTATATTCACAAACATGATTTTTCATATCTAATATCAAAAGACATTCATCCAAAAACATAGGGTGAGCACATGGTTAGGTTCTTTTTTATTTTATTTCAATTTTTTTCATGTATTTTTGTTCTTCATAATAAAATAGCTATGTTAAATATGATATAAATTTTACTTCCAATTGTGTGCTCGAACGTTTAGACACGTTGAAAAAATGGATGATAATTATTATTTTTTTGTCTTATACAATAAAAAGAGTACAAAAAAAATAATATATTTATTATAAACAAAAAAAAATATTTTTTACGGACACATAATAATCCTTTATATTATTATTATTATTATTATTGAAACTCACTCTTTAGTTCATCTTTATGATTGCACTTCAATTCACTATTGTAAATAATTATATCGCACAATAATTAAATAATCTCTACACGTATGAAACAAAAATAAAAGGTTAATAATAACAAATGGGAATGATTAATATCAATCATTAATCCATTAAGTGAAGCACTAATCAAATAATTTCGAATGTCAAAATCATGTATTTGGTTGACCTTATTGGCGCAATTTTATTGTAATTTATTTTATCTTGCCTCAACCTGCTTATTTTTTATTTTTGGGATGAATGCAATTTTTTATATTAAATTCAAAATAATATCGATAATATAAAAATAATATAATAATATATATATTCACATAATATATTATTTTAAATTATTGATTTTTAGTGAATATATCTATTATATAATATTATATATTGTATGAGGATATATATATATAGATATATATGTAAAAATTATATCAAGAAAAAAATATTTGCCGTGAACACACCTCTTATTAACCTTTAAAGCTCCAAATGTAGTTCTTTTTATTTTGGAGCAACGCTAAGGCATCAGATGAGGGATATGCCTAAGCAGTAAACAATTTGTCATCAATCGATCCAAGACGGGCTAGAAGGTCAGTTATTTGGTTTCCTTCACAATAAATGTGCCGCATTCAAATCATAGCGTATTGTTGCAACATAATTCGAATTGATAGAAGGATGAACGCATAAGGCTGAGAGTCTCCTATTTCACCTTGGAACAAAGTAATGGCCGTGGCCAAATCCGAGTAGCAAAGCAGAGGAGAGCATGATGGCCGATAGATATTGGTATAGGGAGGTTCTTCGGTGGCTTTTCAAAAGTTTCTTGAACAAGTTTACATGGAAATAGTTGTTAGTAAACGTCTATGTTGGCCTAGGAGGAAGTTGACGGAAGATATAGTCATTTCTGGCTCTCCACATAAATCACATCATTGTCAGACAAGTGATTTTATTCCTCTTGATCCAATCCTTTAGTTTAGAAGGATTGGATAGGTCTTCCATGATTGCTGGCATACAGAATCCAAATCACGCCCATACCGTCTTGTTCCACGTGCATTAGAAAAGGCAGTGGTAGTTAGTTTTTGAACTAGTATCGTAAATCGGACAAGTAGGCGAGCTTCTCATCTTGCGCTGGTACAACAGATGGCAAGTTGGGAGGATGTTGTAACAGCGGAGCCATATAAAAAAGTCTTATCCATTCAGGTATTTAAAGTTCACATATCCAACGCAAGGGCTCCCGGGAGTACTGCTCAGCTCCTATCAGCGGATTTGTATCCCTGTCGAGCCGAGTAGTTACCATCATTACAATATTTTCAATGCCACCAGCCGGGAGTGGTAGGCTCAAGGAAAATATCACGGTGAGTATTGAATTTCTCAATTACTATCTGAGGGATCCAACTGTAAAACTTTCTATTACTTCCAGCCTTCAGAACCTTATGCTTCGGAAATAGTGATAGAGGTGTCTGCAATGTGAACGGTCTAGGGATGCCCTAAATGAGCTCGCAAGATGGCCATGTTGTCGCCAAATCTGACTTTTATACTATGTACCCATTTCTTTCAAGATCCATAGGAGATCCCAAACAAGCTTCCCCAAGAGGGAGATATTTATATCTCGAACAATGTGGATGCCAAGCCCTCCCTTTGATTTTCGACGAGTGATTCTATTTATTATTACAAATGTTACATCTAAATCGCTATTTAAACAAAAAAAATTACAAAATTAAAATTAAAATTAAATCAAACTCTAAAGAAGTGCACTATAAAAACATTGCCTTATTAATTGAAAGATATAATGTAGTAAATCTATTATACAAAAAAGAAGAAGAAATTTAAAACTTCAATAAACAAATGTTATACATTGGTTGCAATGCTACTTCTGAAACATCTCAAAACTTATATATCTTTCTTTCGATTTAGTTTGGAAATTTTTTATTTAGATTTTTTTTTAAATATTATTTAATGAAATATTTTGTGAAAAGAAAAATATATTTTTGTTCGAAAAATGTGAAGTCGTCCAAATAATAAAAATTCGAAAGTTTTATATTAAAGAAACATATAAACAATCTCCACAAATAAGAAAAAGAATGTTTATTTTCAGAAAATATTACATGTATTATTCCAAATAAAATATATTTTTTTTATTTTATAAAATAGTTTAAAATTTAATGAAAACATATATAATTTTACATAGCTCAAAATTTCTTAAACATTAAAAAAAATTACACAATCCAAAAAGTTTGGAAAACATTCAATACGATTGACCACAAGTGATATGTAATTTCAATTTCTCCTCTAGCATAGTTGAAATTTTTCAGTTTCAATTTTAATTTTAATTTCAATAGTCAATCTTAAATAATATAGCCAGTAAAATTAAATTATTTTTTTCTCTTTCCTTCTGTATTAAAATCACATTTAATTTTCATTCCTATATCTCTACTATTATAATTTTATTTCTTTCGAATTATTTCAGAACAATTTCTAATTAATTAGTCATATATAACTGATTAGAGATTTGCATATTTCACTCGCGAAGAGGAAAGTTAAGAAAAAAAAAATTAAAAAAAAAAAGCCCCAACTTACAATTATTATTATTATTATTATTATTATTATTATTATTATTATTATTATTATTATTATTATTATTATTATTATTTGTAAAAATAGCATAAAGAGAAAATCCATATTTGGGGTAATACACCCCATGCCCTGCCCAGGGCCCATCTTATTTAGAGGGCCCAATATGGTATATATACATGTACTGTTAAATAAATTATTATATGATTATTTAAAAATAAAATAAAAAATTGAACATACTACTTATTATTTAGTAAAATAAGTACTATCAGATTTAAATTTTTATCTAATTATTTATTATAAATTTATAAATAATTATACCAATATTTTAATTGCTTATCGTATTATTAATGATGGTAAATAAGAATTTCCAAACTACAATTTAAATTTTTAAAAGCACTATATTTTGAAATTTTTTTAAATCATTTTTACTCTTAAGATCTTCATTTTTGTATAAAAAAGTGCATTACTTACATTCACAAAATCTTATTTATTTATTTACAAAATTGCATAATTGGCCCAGCCCAAGATTGACTCAGCATTATCCGGTCCGAGCTTGAACCGGTAAGCAGGTCGAGAATTTTGAATTTGATGGTCAATAATTAATATAATTAAATTAAAATAAAAATAATTAAATTAAAAAAAAAAAAAGAAAAAAGAAAAACTTATATTAAAAGTTTGAAATTTCAAATTAACAATTATTAATACATCAAAATAGCTACAAATAAATTTTATATTTTGGTATCGGTTTACAGTAGCATTTATATTAATTTTCGTAAATAAATTTCTTTCTAGAAAAATAACTAAGTAATCATTCAATATTTGATCTTTCATATTATTTTGTATTTTATTTTAGTTATAATTAGTATTATTTTTATTTTTTATTTTGATGGATCTTGTCTAATACTGCAACTATCCTTGATTCATGAAGTAAATATAGGACTAATAAATTGACTTTTTTTTTTTTTTTTTCTTTTCGTCAATTGACTCACTTTGCCTGCATCCGTCATTGCACAGTGTCCGTCACATATTAAGAAGTAATAATTTTATTCCTTTATAATTTTATTACTCTTTATTTTAATCTATAGTAATTTGTCCACTTTTAATTTAGGGTGTGTTTTTGTAGGGGTAGGGAAAAATTTGGGTTTGAAGTGATTTTTATTTGAATTTTGGAGTGGGTTTGAATTTATGTGTTTTTTTTTGTGTTTAGATTTTGGGTTGAGTTCGAAAAGTTTTAATGTATATTGATTTAATGATTATGAATATAATAATATAAATATATATGAATTTGTATAATTTAATTATAAAGTCATATTATATCTACATATATATATATATTTCTAAATTTTTATTTATATGTATTATAAAAAAGAATTTATTTTCTACAAAATGACATATATATTGTATATATTTTACTTTCTCCGTCCGACTCTAAAGGTCTCATTTATATTTTGCATCATTGTACTTAACATTAAAAATATTCTTATATTTGTATATTTTTTTTTGCATAAATATCATTGTTAATAGTATTATAAAACAATAATAGAAATATTTTTGTCATTTTTTCTTAATTTGTATTAAATTTTTATATAATAATTAATATTCAAATATCAATACGTGAGTAAAAAAAAAAAAAAAAAAAAAAATAGACCTTGAAGAGCCAGGACGTAAGTAGTATTAATTTATCCTACTAAGTACTAGCAACTCACAAATTATACATATAAACAAACTGTACATCATCGACAAATTTTCATACTTACTATCTAAACTATACATACATACATATATATACTCGAATCCCTTCATTGCATTAATCCTTACAAAGATTCTTCTTACAGCCAGCTTGATCATGTTGCTTTCATTGCCGGACCTCATCCAACGTTCAAGCTACTCTCGACATTTTTGTCGCCGCCGCCGCCGTCGTCATCGGGAAAGTTCGATTGAGTCACAAGATACGAGAGGGCGGTCGCCACATTGCTTATTAGGGGCCGGCCGTTTGGATCGTCGCGGATGCACAACGAAGCCACCATCAAAGCTTGGTAAAGCCCGCGCCTCGGGAACTTTCCTTCCATCCTCGGATCAGCAATTTGCTCGAGGTTCTTACCATCGTCAAGATATTTTCGTGCCTGACCCGTTACGCCAAGAAATTTTGGTTAATTATAACCGTTGGGAGTGTCCGAAATTCGAGTCACAAATGTATTGTGTTACATTTTTAAATTATAATCAGGATAAATAAAAATATTAATTATTTTCACAGGACTATAAGTACTTTGTACCCATTGGACGAGTTTTTGCTCCCCCTCGGGTTTGGAGGTGTCGATGGCTTTGCGACCGGTTATGAGTTCCAATAAGACGACCCCGAAGCTATATAAATCGGACTTGATCGACAATTGGCCCGGCTCCGCTTGCTCGGGAGCACAATAGCCTTGAGTCCCGACAACCCTATGTGGCTCGTTCTTGATCGAGCATATCTTCGAAAGCCCGAAGTTGTAGAGCTTAGGCCAATCGCCGTTGTCGAGCAACACACTCGATGTCTTGAAATCCCGGAATATTACTTGAGGCTTAGCCTTGTTGTGCAAATACTCCAATGCCTTTGCAGCGCCAGCCGCGATCTTCATCCTCGCCGCCCAATCGAGAAGGTTTTGTCCCGGCGACGGATCTAATACATCGTATTTTATAATATAACTGTTAAATAACCATTTTATTTAAAAGTTTAACTTTAAATAAATATGTATTATTTATTTATTTATTTATAGTATTATAAAATCAATCAAACACACTTTTATACGTGTAAAGTGAATTTACGCTATATACAAATCTTGCACATAAACGCTGACGAATATGGAGCGGTGAGACACGAAGACCTGACATTGTGACTCAGTAACATAGTCAAAAAAAGTTGTATGAGTTTTAAGTGATGGAATACTTATTTTTTATTTACTTTATTGTTTGCTTTTATTCTTTTTTTATTATACCTATGAATATTTATAGATTTTGATTTCATTATTAATATAATTTTTCAGATTTCGGTAATTTAATTTTAATATAATATGAGAGTCTTAGTTTCGAGTTCAAGTTTTCCTATTTGTCGTTGTTACTGGTGGAAATAGGTCATGTCAGACTAGATTTGGACTAAATAGATCAAGCTTGTTTTTATAAAAATTAAAGTCTTAGTGTGGCCTATTGGCCTTTTAAATTATATCTCTAAGACTTAGGTCTGGCCTACTTTAAATTTTGGCTTGACCTATGAACTTATTTAAAAATTTTGTACTAATATTTTTTATTTTTCAAACTTAATATTTGTAAAAAATAAATAAATGCAATTCTTTATTATATATAATAAATCAATTAAAATAAATTAACTTTTATATTTTTTATTGTTACCAATATAGTTTTTTATAAATTATAAACAATTAAAAATATAATGTATTACTATATATATATATATGATATAAAAAAAGTATATATAAATTTATAAACAGGCCGGTTGAATCCCGTTGATATTTTTTATTGTCACAAAAAAAATTTATTTTAAAGTCTAAGTTTATTTTATTTATTTAAAAAGGCTAAAAAAATATATTTAAATTTAATATTTTTAGTAAATAAATGAGGCCAAATCAAACTGTGCCATTATGTGGGCCAATAGGCCCCCGATAGGCCTGACCTATCTTTACATCTAATGGTTGTTTATGTGTAAGTTTTGTTTAGTGGCGTTTACACATGCACTAAATGGGACATATTTGTTAACTCTCTCATTTGTAGATAAATACCTATCAGTTTAAATTTTTACATGAGACATCTTCTAACATTAAGAATGGACGTAAATAGTTACCGTGGAGGCGGTCGGGTAACAACCCGGCCGGGAGATACTCATAGACGAGGAGCCTCCGGTCAGAATCCGAGCAATAGCCGATCATTTTGACGATGTTGGGATGGGTTAGGCAATTGAGGATTAGAACCTCGACCAAGAGACGCATATTGCTTTGCCGGACATTGCCGTCGAGCTTCTTGATTGCGACAAGCTCGCCGCCTCGGAGAGTCCCTTTGTATACGGATCCCGACTCTTCTCTCCGGAGGAGACATTGTGAGCTGAAGTTGTCCGTCGCGTTTGATAGCTCTTGGAACGAAAAAGAAGACGGCGGCGACGATGCGATGTTGCCGGAACGTGGCGCCGGCAAACCGCCGCCGCCGCCGGCCGCCGTCGCCTCCTTGGGATGCTTCTTTGGTGGAAGAATGCTGCAATTAATTGCTGGCATTTTATCTCCTGCATTTCGACAAGATTGTATTTTTATTATTAGATTTGTATTATTGAACAATTCGAAAAATTATATTTGTTAATTAAATTGGATGAGAAGATACTTGTGGGATGAACTTTGCTGTTGTGTTTGCGATGGGCAGTTTTGTGTTTGTGGTGGTTGAAATTCTTGTCGTCCTTTTTGGGATCGAAACACGACAAGAATTTCATCTTACCTCCATCGAACAAACGATTCATGTTTTAATTAAAAGATTCCGACACCAGATTCGATCGATCTGATCACCCCCCAAGAAATATATGAAATGTAGTTTTTTAATTAATTAAATATCAAAAAAATTGATCAAATCTGCCATTGTCGTCAAGAGGACACAAAACCATCAATCATCCTCCATGAAAATGTAAGGGTTTCTATTCACCCACGTGCCCCTAAAAACGTACATAAATGCATATATAGAGAGAAGAATAAAGGATTATAACCTACGTACAATGTTTTCCTAATATTTAATTTATTTATATATATATATATATTTGATAAAATTCTATGTAAAATACTCTCACAGTCACACATATAATTTATACATTTTAATTATATTTATTTAATTATTTTAATTTTAATTTATAATTATTTATTATACAATAATTATTTTTACTAATATATTTTTTAATTATTTACTAATTATATTTTACTTAAATTCTAGTATCTATAATAACAGAGACAATTTATATCGTACAAAGAAAATACTTAATCAACAATAAATACGTTTTAACTTTTTGCACGTGAATATAGTATAATAGACGGACGAATGACAATTATACCACAAAATTTTAATAGTATTTTATATGTAAGTTGATGTCTGTTATAATAGTATTTAAAATATAAGATTTTTTTTCTTAAAAAATTATGTTAAAAATACAATTATTAAAAAAATTGAATAAATTGATTTCGAATGAATCAAATAAAAAATAATGAATAAATTGATTCCGAATAGACAGAATATATATAAGATATTAAACAATTCAATACAATATACCTTTAAAAGAGCATTTGAATCTAAATTGAAAGTTATATAGTAAAATTTTAAATTAAAATAATTATTTATTTGATATGATATAGTAATAAATATTTATAAGATATTTTAATTTGATATATTTTAAGATATAATAATAATTAATAGAAATTAGTAACCCACAAACAAACAAAATTTTACAATTCACACAATGATTATATTTTGTTTGTGGATGTTAGGATTAGATTTTAAATACTCCTTCCGTTCCATAATAAAGTATCCATTTTTTTATTTTAGTTCGTCTCACAACAAAATATTCATTTCTTCTTTTAGTAACTTTATTATCTACTTAATATTACAAATACCCTTGCACCTTACAATATATTACACAAATGTCATTACCTTTTATATCACATATACTAATAAGGTTATTTTAGTCATTTCTATTTTATTTCTATTTTATCTTAATATAATACTAATACTTCTAAAATTACGTAGAAAAAATATATGAATATTTAGTTATGGGACGGTGTGAGCAATAAAATTGTAAATTCAACTAATAAATGAAAGCAAAATTGATTCCCATGGCACAAAAAGGTGAGAGATTTGAATGTTACAAAGACAAGACTTTGGATACAATTTTACACACATTCATTCATTCCTGCAAATATACACACCTCCAAACTCTCTTCTTCTTCTTCTTCATCACAAACTTAAAATCCCCAAACCATACCATAGGATACATTGATGGAGGTAGCCACTCAAAACAAAAATCATCTCCATCCTCTTTGCTCCTTACCTCTCGAAAAATCGCCGTAAATCGATCGCGATTGCGCCCGTCACCCGTTGTTTCCATCGTAGCTTCCCTGAGCATTTTGGCGTCGCCAATTCTCGCCCCACATTTTAGCCTCGGCGACAGCTCGTTCTCTATCCAAATCCCGGTTCAACATCTTCGCCGTTTCTCTCGGGGAATCATCCTTCTCCGACCCTTCCAGCTCCCATTTCCGGCCAGAGCTGCCCCCTTCTTCGTTCCTCACGCTTTTCCCGTCTTTGTTTCTGCTATCATCCTTATCCGCGCCAATTCGGTTGCTATGCCCGGGAGCGAGACTCGGATCGTACGCCTGGTTCGCAAGGTAAGAAAGGGCGGTCACCACGTCGCCGATCAACGGACGCCCGGCAGCCTGTTCTTGAATGCACATCGACGCCACAGCTAAAGCTTGATAAAGGCCGCGCATTGGAAACTTTCCTTCCAGCCTCGGATCCGCCAGCTTCGCGAATTTTCGACGGTCGTTGAACAATGGACGAGCCTGGATTACACATACAACATTAAAAATATCGAAAAAAACAAAAAAGGAACCAACTTTTAAAATATCGAAAAAACGTAAGCTCACCCACGCAACAAGGTTTTGTTCCCCCTGAGGTTGGGTGCTGTCGATGGCCTTACGCCCGGTAATGAGTTCTAAAAAAACGACTCCGAAGCTGTAAACGTCGGACTTCACCGTCAACTGCCCAGTCATCGCATATTCAGGCGCACAATAGCCATAGGTTCCCATGACCCTCGTCGATACATGGGATTTGTCGCCTGTAGGGCCGAGTTTCGCAAGTCCGAAGTCGGAGAGCTTTGGAAAATACCCTTCACCGAGCAATATATTCGACGACTTGAAATCCCTGTAAATAACGGGAGGATTCGCCTTATCGTGAAGATATTCCAACCCTCTTGCCGCCCCGGCTGCTATTTTCATTCTCGTGTTCCAATCGAGCGGCTCTCTGTCGAGAGGCAGATCTGCAGAATCATCACAATCGGAAAAAAGAGAAAGAATTAGGGCATGTACATCTTCGAAATTTTAACACCTTATGTTTTTATCTTGCAATACACAAATGAAAATTACGAAAAAAGTTTAGCTAGAATTCACTTATACAAGTAATTCCTTCGATGCAAAATGCCGAGCAAATAGGTTTAACAACGGTAGAAAATGCAGCCGGGAATTACCATGTAGATGATCTTCTAACGACCCCAACGGCATAAACTCATAAACCAAAAGCCTTTGATCACCGTCAGCGCAGTAGCCCATCAAATTCACCAAATTCGGATGGTGGAGAAGGCTAAGCATTAGAACCTCAACAAGAAATTCCCGGTTCCCCTGAAGCCCGTTCCTATCCAACTGTTTCACAGCAACAACCTGCCGAAGAACGCATAGAATTAGAACATACACCTTATATCACTATTTGTATCTATGTAAACGAAAAATGTTTACTTGTCCGGACGGAAGCTTTCCTTTGTACACACGGCCGAATCCTCCCTCGCCCAAGAAACATTCTTCCCTAAAATTGTTCGTAGCATTAGCGAGCTCGCGGAAAGTAAACGTATGCGCAGCAATCTGAGAATCGGGCAAGTCTTTCAATCCCGACGCCTCCTTCCTCGGCCCGACATTGCTTCTTGTTTTCAGCCTGTCTCCTCCTTCAAATTGCAACTTAAAATCAGCCCCTTTGTCGGGAAATCGAGTGCATTTGCATACAAACTAATCGAGAAAATCAATATAGCCAATTGGATAGATTGATATCACAAACTGTTCTATGGTTAGTGATCGATGGCAAGTCTCATCAATTCATACCCTACATGTTGTTTCCAAATAAAGCAATCTTGCTTCTCCACCCAACTATGAATCAAAAACCAGCAATCTTGGAATTTGATGAACATCTAATTAATCGAACATTCGGACGCCATTGAAATCAAATCAAATGAAAATCATACGCCATCATTGAGATCTATCTTCATATAAGACAAGGAACAAAAGGGAAAGAACTAAATCAAAAATTTTCATAGACATAGAGCTATGGCGTGTCTCCATCATGAACTAGAAATCCAGTCCAGATAATCAAAGACTGATATCAATCAATCAATCAATCAATCGAGAAAAAAAAAATTAAAAATTAAAAATTAAATTAAAATAAGAACCTGTATTAACCTGAAATGAAGAGCTCGTAAAACCTAAACTCGGTACTGAGATCGGATCACATAAGTTAAATAAGAGAGAGAGAGAGAGAGAGAGAGAGAGAGAGAGAGAGAGAGAGAGACCAGAGGATAATTTGGATATGTTAGAAGGAACTGTGGAATGAGTTTCCCTATGGTCATCTTCTCTGTCGTCGCGGGGATTGAGCTTTTCCTCTTCCCTGGAGTCGAAACATGGAAAACAACCCATCTACCTCCCCGGAGAGATCAAATCTATGTCGAACCCTTCGTCTTCAGCAAACGCAGATTCACAGCACAACCAATCAAATCACTTTGGGGGGTTCTTCTTTAATCCAATCCCCCTGAAAGATTCACTCGGTATGCTTTAAATTAATTCCCTTTTCCTTTATCCGAAAATCTGCAATTTTGAGTGGGTGGGAAATAAGAAAAGCTAAAAAGAAGCAAATTTAGATTTAGGGGAAATTAATTTTTACAAGGGATTGGGATTGGGGTTGGGGTTGGGTCGTGGACAGATTGCGGAATCTGCTGAGCTGAAGCTGAGGAGGAAAGGAAGAAGGCAAGTGTTGTTGCAGGGCATTTGCCGGCTTTGTCGTTGCCTTTTCATTGCATTCAGAATTTATGCCCAAAACCCTCTCTCTCTCCTCTCTCTCTCTCTTACACACATGTGGTGCCTTCACACATTTTATTTATTTAAATATTCATATACGCTTTATTTTATTATTAATTTTTTTTTTTTTTTTTTTTTTTTTGGTAAGATTTGAGTTGTGTTTGTATTTGAATTTTAAAATAGATTTAAGTTTGTTTCTTTCTTTTATGTTTAGGTTTAGTATGAGTTGGAGGAGTTTTGATACGTGTTAATATGATAGATAATGAATATAATAATATAAATATATATTAAATTTAATTGATAAAATTAATAGTAGTATGATTTGATTATAAATTTATATTATATCCGATATATATATTTTTTTAAATTTTTTATTTATTTGTATTATAGATAATTGAATTTTCTAAAAAACAACCTATATATTGTATATATTTTTTTAATCTATAATTACTATACATATTAAATAAATTATTATTTAAATATTTTAAATTGTTTAAAAAAATATAAAATAAAAAAAAAACAAATCCAAGCTATCAATTAGCCTCACCCTATTTGTTTCGAAGAAAATTGAGTTTGGTCGCAATTTCTCGGACTAACAGTGCACGAATAGTAAAATCCTTCGGATCTGCTGTAAAAAAACCAGATCCTTGGTTTTTGGATTTTGATTTTACCTACTAAAATTTTGAATTAAAATTGTTGCCACATAATAATGTTGTTTTCAACTTAAAATTAAATTTTATTGTAATATAATAAATAAAATTTGATATTTAATTTGATATTTTTTATAGTAAAATCAAAGATAAAGTTGTATAAATAAACACATTTATTTTTAGTAAAAGTATATTATAAGAGTATTATTTTTGTTCTGTAACAATTAACCACTTCCATTAGTGACAAGGTATTTAATATGATGATATCTAATTAGTTAATAAGAGTGGGTTAAGATATTATTTTACTCCCTCCGTTCCACAAATAAGTATTCATTTACTTTTTACACGTAGTTTTAGAAATATTAGTATTATATTAGGATATAAGTAGGAATAAAGTAAAAATGACTAAAATAACCTTATTAATATGTGTAATATAAAGGTAATGGCATTTGTGTAATATATTGTAAGTTGTAAGGGTATTTGTAATGGTAGGTAGATATTACAGTTACAAGAAAAAATGAAATGAATACTTTGTTATGGGACGGACTAAAATGGAAAAATGGATACTTTGTCATGGGACGGAGGGAGTATTATTTTGTATGTAATTTATAATATTTGTAGTTTAAAAATAAACTTAGTATATATATAAAAAAAAAAATAATATGTATTTAAATATTTTAAAAATTATATCTCAATAAAAAATGTATATACAATATAATATCATTTTATAGAGAATAAAATTTCATATAATACAAATAAAATAAATAAAATTACTAAAAGTATTTTTATTTATTTATAATTAATATAAACTAATTTTTATAAAAGATGTAGATTTTTAAATGTAAATAAAAATATCTATCTTTTTTTATATAAATAAAAATAAATAATTTTTGAGTGATCATGTTATATAGTTAATTAAATTAATTTATACTTCTATATTATGTTTTACCTAGAATAAAAAAGTATTCATTATTAAGAGACATAAAAAAATAAAATAAAATAAATATCAAATAAAATGAAAAGAAAAAAAATATTATTTTATTATTTTTTATTTAGTGACTTTATTGCCATTCTTAAAATAAGAATTAATATATATATATATATTAAAAGATATAAAATATATATTTTAAATATTATATTTTAACAAAATATGTATATCATCTTATAAAAAATAAAATTTTATAATATATAATATATAATACAAATAAATAAAGAAATGTATTTATAAATTATATAAAATAATTTTATAAACAAATTCAGTTTTAGATATAACAAGAAAAAAAATATTTATTTATTAAAAAAATAATAAAATAAAAAAAATGAAATGAATTTTATACGTAAAATATTAAATATTTAATTAAATTAATTTATATTTATTAATTATATTTAAAATTAATAATTTTATTAAAAATAGAAAAATATTAACCATTGAAACAGTGTAAACTAAAAATATATTAGTATCTATTATGAGACAGGAGAGTAGGATGTAAATAGTTTTTTTGTGTGTTTATTTGTGAAATAATTTAAAAATAATTGTATATATAATATTAAAGTAATAAATTTATAAGATATTAGTTTTTTTAGAAAATAACTTTTTTTCCAAAAGAACATTATTTATATTTAAATAATTTTAAACTAAAACATGAGACAAATAGATACAATTGTCTGCAAGTACAGTTCAAGGCTAATTAATTATATTTAATGAAATATTTATATTGTACATATTTTTTTATTTAAATATAATATTTAAAATATTTAAAAATATTATATTAATTTTTTTAATCATGTATATTATATTGTAAATTAAATATTAATTAAATCAATTACTTTCAACTTAATTCTCAATTTAAAACTCAAACGGTAATCAAAACGCACTCTACTTGTTATCTTTTAAAAAATAAAAATTTAATTTAAATTTACACAAAAATGTATATCTAAAAAAGATTCATGGTTATATTCATATTTTTAAAAATAATAATAATAATAATAATAATAATAATAATAATAAAATCATCAATTAAACGCAAATATATACAAAATTGATAGATTTTTTTTATATACAAAATTGCATAACAAAACCTATAAATAATCGTATATAAGACAAAATTGTATGAGCTTGTGAGCTTATGTAGTTATTTTTTATTTTTTTTTTAATATTATGTAGTTTAAAAAATAAAATGAAATCGACTAAACATAATAATAGATATACAAAATTACATAATGAAACATTATTCATCCGTCTTTTATACATATTGTTTTATTTTATTACTATTTCCGTCCAAATACAATAGTGCTATTTACTATTTTTATTTGTCTCAAAACAATAATTTTATTTTCATAAATAATTATATCACTATAAAAATATCTACTTTTTTATTATTATTATATAATTGTCACTACTTTTTACACTAATACATTCACAAGGGCAAAAAAATTTTTTATTTATATTTTTTACTCACTATCAATATAATATTAATATATCTCATGTCTAACGTAAAATGATAATTTTGGGACGAAGGAAGTATTTTTTATCGGTCCTATATGTATTGTCATACTACTATAAATAGTAAATGTATTGTGATATAAATTATTGTTGCCATTCTATTATTGTTATACAAATATAATTATTTTTTACATATATTACAGAAAATATATTTACTAAAAAAATAAGGATAAAATACAAATATTTAACCATTATTCTATACTCCCTCCGTCTCATATATTATGCCCACTTTGTCATTTCGGTACATCACACGTACCAGGTCACTTACCATATTTGACAAATAATTATATACTTCAAACATAATTAAAATTTCTTAGTCTTAAATTATTTTAATCTAACTATACACATATATAACCCCCACCTGCACATCGCACCTTATCTTCTCATATCACTTTCTCTCTCCCCGATTCGAGAAACTCTGATCTCCGCTCATTTCTCTCTTGATCTGGTGCTCCCGTCACCTCAAATCGATGTCATCGGTCTACCGATCGTCGGCGCTTCCTCCCCCAAGCTCATGGAACCTTTGTCCTAAGTCGGGATCCTCTCTCCGTTGTCCGATCTGTGGCTCTTTTCCTTGTGAAATCCCTAAATCATCTGATGAGTTTTTCCCCGTCGACCCGGCTTCTAGCGACGGTATTTTCCATCGATATACTGGGGAGAAGGTTGGTGTGAGTGAGGATTTCTCATTTTGGGTACCAGACAATGAATCTCCGTTCGATTTAGGGTTGGATATCGATGTTGCACCTCTTGGGCGGGAGTAGGCAGGCGCCTACAACTTCTTTCCGGCTTCAGCCGTCGTCGGAAAAGGCCAGATTGTTTGATTGCGGCTCTGGATCGATCCCGAAAATTGGCGATATCTAGTTCGAACTTGGTTATTGCTCAGACTTTGACAATGATCGCAACTCCGAGCATACCTCATCCCTACTCCGACAGTCTCGACAACTACGTCCCTACCGTGGACGTTGGTGAAATCTAAACAAATTTTTACTTGCATTCCATTAATTGTGATGTCAGTGGCTAATGAGTATATTTCGATTCATGCCTTATTTAATAATTGTGGCTTGAAAATGCATTTATATCACATCATGGTGGATGTTATTGATTTAGCTTGTTGAAAATAGTTTGTTGTGCACTATAATCTGTTTTCATCGAACTTTGAGTGCAATACCATTCTGTCTCGCCTAAAAATTTCCGATTTGTTATTGCTGATTTCAAAATAGCTTCCACGATTACATATACTCTCGTATTAAATTGTTTTTACTCAACAACTCAAGTTGTAATAAATGAATTTGAGTTACTAGTTTGAAAACAAACATTTCATACGGAAAAATGTATTTCATCAAAATGTTTTCACTATAAACATGTTACTAAGTATCTCACATGTGGTCCAGCATGCCACGCGGATGCTACGGTGTGCATTTTTGGCACCGGATGACCAATTATGCAAAAAAAAATCACTCACTGAATTATTACTATACAGAGTCGAGACTAAAATAATAAGAGAGTAAATTAAAAAAAAAATCATATTATTATGAGGTGTTTTACTTGTGTTTTCTAACTTATTTTTTATTTTTTGTTAAAATTAAAAAAATCAAAACCAAATCGAAAATTTTGAAATTTAAATTTTTTATTTTTAAATTTTATTTTTTATTTTTATAATTAGTTTATAATATTAAATATATATAATAAATAAATAATAACTATATTAAAATATAATTAATAATTTGGATTTTTATTTTTTATTAAAATATTGAATTTATATAATAATAAAATATATTAAAATATTATATTTCGAATTTCAAATTGATTTGAATTATTAAAATACTGATTCAAAAATTTAAAACTTATAAAATATCTAATTCGAAAAATCTTAACCAAAT